GAGTACATTTTGGTTGGTGTACTCTGATGATTTTATAACAATCAGCTTCAATAAGAATCGTGCTAAATTTTTTGGACAATTGTGAGAAAGCGTACGAAAGCTTATTTATAAAAATTATTTTTTTAAAAGTTATGGAAACTTTTGTTGATCCATGTTTTCTACGCCGATTTTGAATAATTAAAAAAAAATTAACTGCATCTAAAAAAAATTAGTTTGGATATATCTAAATAAACACTTCTATTAAAAAGCCTTACAAATTTTGGGTATTTCCATTGTAACGGGTGCGACACTGACACTGCGTTTGATTCATGCACTGAAAGAAATATATGTTTGTTTTAGCAATGTATGTGGTTCATATATGGACTACCACATACATTGCTAAAACAAACATATATTATATTTAGTTTTAACATAATATGTTAAAACTAAATATAAAAATGGTTAAGGTAAATATATTTTATGTTTCATATATGGACTACCACATACATTGCTAAAACAAACATATACTTCTTTCAGTGTGATAATAAAGTGTTTACATATATACAAAATTAGATGAAACAAAATGTTAATAAAAACTTTTATAGAAAACCTTTTATAACGTCATGAATCGCGTAACGGGCGCGACATTAGAAAATCGGCAAATGAGAGTCGCATTTGGCTTTAACTTTAAACTTTTAGATAAAGATATATACTATACTAATAATTTTTTGTGTAGAACTTGAATAGTATACTATTTTAGTTATGTTAGGTTATAACCTCGTATAATGCACAAATATTTTATACTTTATTTTCTAAAATTTTCTGAAAATGTAACGGGTGCGACAAATTTTTATCTAGTATTGAAACTCTTCTGTGTTTATTCTTAAAGTTAGCTTCTTAACATTACAATGTACGACTATATACAGTGTGACCCATTTGTTTGCGACTCACCCCTGTAAAATCTATATTTATTGTGCGATTTTAACCGAATTTGTTTTAAAGTGTAGATCTTAATAAACTGTATTTTTGGAGTAAAAAACGCCATACAAGGCCTACTATGTCAGTTTTTAAGAGTAAATTTTTAAGAATTCATATTAGCGATTTTTTTAAACAAAACCTAAGCACGGCACTGGATTCGCCACCCCTCAAAACGACCCTTTACCAAATTTGACTTCATATATAGTTTTTGTTTTCTTAAATAACACATTTAATTGTTTGTCAAGGTGGGGTAAGGTTTCGAGGAAATACCCTTTTGTAGAAGTTACAGAGCTTTAAAATCGAGTTTTTTTTAAGTTTGAATAATATTGTCAATCTTTAAAGCACTATAACTCAAAACCAAATCGATTTTAGCTAAATTAGCTAAATTTACAGGTTATACAAAAAAATATACGTCTTTAAAACTTATTTATTAGATTTTTTATAGAATTATTTTTAAGCAAATTATAGCACCTTTGCCGAAGCTTTGTTTATAATCCAAGATGACTCATTGTCCATAAGAAGTGTGAATGGACATACGCCATATTAATTCTGATCGGTCATGTGTGTGCTGCTGCAGTGGCCAGCGGGATATTAAAGGGGTCGTACGCGGCAAAGAGCTTACGCACATGTGCGTAATAGGCACGCTTCTCCCTTCCCGGGGTTTTATTTTATTTGTTTGTCCCTGGACCAAAATTTGCATTTCAATGTGTGTGCAGTTTTTTTCTTAGCCATGGGAAATAAATTAGGAGATGTGTCTAGTGTCTTTGCCTCAAAACCGAGCAAATCCATTAATTATACTGATTAAAATGAAAGCAAATTCTAATTTTCTTTGATATGCGCGTGTTTGCATATTTTATAAATATCATGTTTAATTTGTATTTATCAATATGGCAATTAACATTTACAGGAATCTGATACATTAATTTTAATATGGAGACAATTATTATAATTGATATGTTTAATGATACCATGGGAAACAGTCTTATATGAAATTACTAAAATATGTTATGAATGACTACGAATTTCTACATAACTTTAAACAAAATATCCAAGAAACTGGTTTTTAAAAAAGCTTATTTTTGTTTATATACCCTCAAAATTTTAACAAAATCGGACGGTAATTTTGTTAAGTTGTTTGTTTTTTATTAAATTAAAGTGTCTTCTTTAACTTTAAAAGAAAATAATTTATAAAAATTCTACAAACGCTAATTTAAAACGCTTATTCATAGTATGTATATCCTTAAAATATTATAAAAGTCCAGCCAGCAGCCACTAATAATGTATTCCTTAGCAATTAGTAGTAAAAGTAGGTAGGTACTCTCTAAAAATGAATTATGTAGTCAAAAATGACTAATTTAATAGTTATTAGTGGCTGCTTTTTCACTTGTACCATGGTTAACCATGGAATACCATGGTATCCCAAAATTTAACAGCCAATTCTTATGTAATCCGAAAATCAAAAGTTAAAAAAGTAGAACAGTTTTTGAGATATAGTCAATTTTTCATTTAATACGGAATTGACTATATCTTAAAAACCGCTCCACTTTCATAATTTTTGACGATATTTTCGGATTCAGGGGACAATTTTACATAGGAATTGGGATACCATGGTATTCCATGGTTAACCAAGGTACAAGTGAAAAAGCCGAAGCCGGAAAAAGCAGCCACTAATAACTATTAAATTAGTCATTTTTGACTAATTCATTTTTAGAGAGTAAGTAAAATTGTACACTGAATCCGAAAATACCACCAAAAGTTATAGAAGTAGAGCAGTTTTTAAGATATAGTCAATTCCATATTTAATGGAAAAATGACCACTCTCTTAAAATTAATTAGTCAAAAATAACTAATTGTAAAAAAAGCAGTTTTTGAGATACAGTCAATTCCATATAATATGTAAAATTGACTATATCTCAAAAACTGTTCTACTTTTAAAAGTTTTGACGACATTTTCGAATACGACGGACAATTTTACATATAAATTGACTGCTAAATGTCCGAGTTACAAATTATTGTTGACTAGAATTATTACTGGCTGCTTTTTCGCTATGACAATTGGTCATTTTTGACTATTTCATTTTAAGAAAGCATATCTCTAAACATTTTCGGATTCAGCGGACAATTTTACATAAGAAATTACTTCTAAATATTCGGGATACAAATTGCTGTTGACTAGAATTAGGTAGTTCAAAAAGTGTACTTTTGTTATAATTACATATATATCCATGCATTTTTGTAAAAGGTTAAGACTAGTAAAGTGACCAAAAATTTCTGGCACCACATCAAAAAATCTTGTCAGTTGTAGAAGTTCATAGTTGTTTCAAAATTATAGACATTATAAAAAACATTAAATTTTGTCCTTGATAATTCAAAATTGTCAAAAATCGGTTTCCTAACTATAACCCCATTTATATTGCAATTACTATCTCATTAACAAAGCAGATAATAAAAAAATAAGAACAATTTTCAAACCTTAACAACACAAAGTGTAAATTCTATAGCTAACTGTAAAATATAATCATTGATAATACGAGTCGAAGCATTTTTTTCTAGACAAGCATTTCCGTATCCTGTCTTCAAGGTACACCTGTAGAGTCTATTGTTATAGCAATATGTCATTAGTAAGAAAGCAGGGTTGCCAAATTGACACTCTATAGAATCAACATTTTAAATGTGAAGTTTTGACCAAAAACTATGTTTTTTTAGATTTAACATGCATTTAGGGACTGTTTAGAGTGATGTTTCATAGAGAGTTGGTTTTGGGAGGTCTAAAATTGGACAGTTAGAGCTGTTCTTTTGGTGACTTGGCAACGTTGTATGGCTAGTGCACGTTCGTCCATTCGTCCGCAACGTTGCACTAGACAAAGATTGTTCTTGCGTTCGTTCTTCCAACCTGTTTTAAAGGCCCGTTTTACGGTAATAGAACCGCATCTCGCTTCAACTCGCTATCGCGGTCTCTGTTAACCAGCGGAGTGATTTCGACATTCCTCGCTCGAGAGCGAGATGGCCTGTCCAGCTGACCGACGTCGGAAAGAATCTTGGTCGCGACTTAAAGAGCGTGTTTTTTCAGGTGTACCCCGAAAATTTCGTCAAAATATCTCCACTTTGCGAGGTTTTAAATTGGAATGATTTTGAAGCTACGATTTTGATAGAAGATGCAGGGTATACCAACAAAACTGGGATATTTTAGATAATTCTTTTTTAAAGATAACAAATTCATTAAGTACACCCTAAAAAATTTACTAAAATTGGTCAAATTTTTTAAAAGTTACAGAGTTTTTATTACAATTCCTGTAGGTATAAACTTTGATGATTTTAAATCTTGTCAAGTTATGATAAAAAACTTGGGGTATACCAGTAAAAATTTTGATTGATTGATTTTTCTAAAACATCTAAAAACAATGGTTTGACTTAAAAATTTTAAACAAATCGAAATATTTGGGTAGAAATTGCATAGCTTTAAAGTTAATCTTGAGGATGATTTTTAAGCTCAGTAACTTCTACACAAGGAGTCCGATTTGGATATAAATTTCAGGGTATACATAAAAAATACGTACTTTTTAATTCCGTGAACAGTTTTTGGTATATTTTTGGGTATGGAAGATAAAGGTGGACCAATTGGTGCTTTAGGAGTTCAAGAGTAAAAGTTACACTATCTCATAATTAAGATATCTTTAGCAAATGAAAATTACTTTGGAACATAAACAACCGTCTTTTGTATTCACACATGTAATCTTAGGTCAACAGTTTTCATTTCGTTTTAAAAACGATAAAATATCGTCGATGTTATTAACTTTAGAGATAAGATCTTTGGTGGATAAGCACAGTCCCTATACTACAGGGTGTCAACTTAAGATTTTGAGTTGAGAATTTGATGCATCGGCTAGACTGCACTATAGAGGCGACGTTGCGAGATTGAGCGGTGCTAACGGCAACGCCGTGTTGGCTAATAACAATGTCAATGACTCTGAGTGTTTGTGAGATAAAGACTCTCGTTTTCCGTGCTCTACAGGGTGTGTGGAAATTCGGAAAATTGCACAAACCTGTCCGACGATTCTGAGCTGTCATATCTGTCGACGCATCTCTTCTTCCTGCAATCGTCCTCGGTGATTCCCTCGTGAATTTCGGCACTGTGATTCGTAACATCAATTATCTCATCGGTCACCACACTGTCACTCATGATCACTTCATCCGCACTCGCATTTTCATTGTTTCTTTCATTCGTGTCTGAAAATTGCGTCCGAACCGACTCCTCCGTACTGCTTCCGTCTGCCATTTTGAACACACTGACTTTTCTATGGCGAGTCGCGAAGCGCGCATAGCCCATTAACAACACTCTACGCAGTCCACGGGAGGAGTTGGTAGCTATAAGAGGCATGCTATGTGGGATACACGGTGGGAAATTAACGACCTATCTATGGCAAGAAATGTAGGGTATACCAACAAAAATAGGATATTTTTACCGATTATTTCTTAAAGGTCGTATTTTTGTTAGCACACCCTGAAAATTCAAAATTCAAAATTGCCCAATTTAAAAACCTAATCATTTTGTTTAAAATCCCAACATTTGTGGCCGATACAGCATTTGGAAATTTTAGTATTTTCTGGAAATAATCTGACTGATTTTGAATACCTATACCTATGATTTTGATAAGGAATATAGGGTATACCGACAAAAATGGGATATTTTTAACGATTATTTCTTAAAGATCTTATGTTTGTTATCAAATCAAATCACCCAATTTCTAAAAAAAGTTGCAGAGTTTTTATTATAATTCCTGTATATGTTCATCAATGTTGCGAGATGTCCGATAGTTGTCGTAAAAGTATAATTTGAACGTTCGATAGTTTTAAAATTATTAAAAATAAAAAAATAATATTAAAATGTTTTAATAGTTATTTATGTCATTAGGTCAAGAAGTAAGTCTTTTTGTGCTGAGCACAAAGTTTGAAGGCCAACTCGTAGCGAATCACAAAAAGACTTACAACTCGACAAATCTAGCTAGAGTCTTTAAAAAAATTGGAAGAAAAGAGATGCATGATACGGCCGATCTCAGCCGCACAGAGGACTAATAAAGGATTAAATATCAACAGTATTAAAGTTATTTAAGAGTAAAAAATAGTAAATTTTCGACTTATTTATACAATTTAAATAAGTTAAGGTATGTTTAAAAGAGGTAACATTAATGCAAATAAAAATAGGTTATAATGATTTTGAAAATTTGTGTTAGGGTTAGGTTCGTTTTTATTGATATAAGTATTAACAAGTGATGGTAAATTGACAATTATTTTTAAAGAGCCTAGTAGTGAGTAGCAGCTTTTATTGATAATGGATTTTAAATCAAAATTAAAGTTTTGTCAGGTCAAGCTAGAGAGGTGATAGCTAATGTCATTTTCTTTAAGCAGCGAGAAGCTGCACAAAACGGCCCTATCCGTGAATTTAAATTTTTTATACTTGATTTACTTTTATTTTAAGAGCTGGCATCTGCGCATCGATGGGCGTGTACATTCGTACGTCTCTAGCTAGATTTGCCAAGCTGTACTCCTTGGCCGACTGGCATACAACATTTTATCATAAAAGCACAGGTTTATTTGTTAAACGTACAATTATTAAAAATAGAAAGTGATGTTAGATACAGATCTGACAAAAGTCGAATTTTTATTGGTCCAAAGTAGAAAATAATGATTTTTTACAGCCTAGGCTGTAAATAATCTAACCCGATCGGTATTAATTATTTTTAAGTGACTAAGCCATAATCAATTACTTTATTAACGAGAGTTGACAACAATAACGTTTAAATTATAAACCGATTAAAGATGAATATTTTTATCTTTATTATTTTAATATACAGTACTTTATTAGAAGTATTTTTTGTCTTATTAGTATATTATTTGTTTATTCTACGCCCAACTTATCGACCATTATCGTACGTATGTTTTTATGATACCAAGTGGCCTTTTAATTACACATTGACAATTGTGGCTTTATGGCGTTTTAGTCAAGGGCTGAAGTTAGTTGACAGTTGTCAAATGTCATACAATCGTTAATATAAAGTGCCCATCTTGAAAAATTATTTTATTATCTCAATACAAAAATACATTTGTATTAAATAGTTTCTCAGCACCAATATTTGAAGAGTTTAGATGAACATTGTACTGACCTTTTAATTTCGCCGGCAGTAAACTAGATTTATCTTAATTTCAAGTGGAGACTCCACCGTGAAGTGCCCATAAAACTTTTTCTTCACTTTTACTTTGAAAAATTCTTGTTAGTCAAGGGATACATTTCGATTTACACATACAAATTTGCGATTTTTACCGGAGAGCCGTTAATACAGATTCCCACCTTACTGTTACTCTATTTTTGTATAGATGTCGCTCTATACAAATATTTAATTTCAATCATTTTCAAATAATAATAAGTATTCGTCGTAAGATAATAATAGTATGCAACTCATTTATAAACTTTTCTAGACACTCATTTAATTAAGAACTCGGTCGCAAGCTCGCTTGTGCCTAAATTAAATTCATGACTAAAATGGCGTATATCAAATTTGATACATAATATACTATTATTTTATACCTTTAATATAACATAATATAACTGCATATTCCATTTACCCTTTTTTCATACCGTAGGGTAATATACGTTAAAAACGATAATTTTGTATCGCTGGTACGATAATCTCACATTCAACATCTGGCAACACTCATGTACATTTTGATGATTTAGAATCTTGTCAGATTGTTCCTAAAGGATTTTTTTTAAATACTTTGAAAATTTTGTCAGATAAAAGGCTTTAAAACTAAATCTTTTTGTAAATAATCTAACTTATTTTTTTGTCTTTGCTGTAAAACGTGTGATATTGCACGTAGCTCCTTTTTAGGTATTTTATTGTTTTATTTGTCATTTAATTTTTTACTAGGTATTAAACAAGGGTTTCCATGTCATACACAGTGCCATTTTTTGAACTAGAAAAATGTGTTATAATTGACCAGTGGCGTATTTAGTTTTTTTTGGGGAACCCATGGCCAAATTAAAACAAAGTATATAATAATAATAATAATAATAATAATAATACCATTAACATCAATAATAATAATTGGAATCCTTTATTCTATTTTAAAAAAATACAACAAATTCTATAAAAATAAACAATTCAAACTGCGGCAAAACTTAGTAATAGTATTTGGATACTATTTAGAAAGAAGAAACATATTATTAAATTTTTAATACTAAATAATAAATTGCACATATCAGTAGGTATCAGGCGCGTACGCAGGATTGTGTCCTGGGGGGGGGGCAAAGCCTGGTAAGTTAACTAATAAGACATATTATTTTTTGTTTTTACATTATAAAAAATAAAACAAATAAACTCTTAACACAGTACAAAGTTAACATTTTTGTGTTATGCAAAAATATTTGGTATAAAATATTTGCCACTTTTCCCCATGTCTTAAACTAAATAAAAATAAATATTGAAAAAATTACAAAATAATGTCAATCTTTTTTTTTATTTTTTGGATTTAAGACCTCTTCCACAGAAATTGTTGTATTAGGATGAACTTATAAAAGAGCCAGCCCATTCATCCTCTCTTCTCCCATAGTATTCCTAAGATAAGTCTTAAGCAATTTTTGTGCAGAAAAGCTTCTCTAAGCTGTTGCAGTGCTTACCGGAAGTGTGCAGAATATTTTCAGAAGTTCTAATCTGTTTGGGTATATACCCAAATTTTTAAAAATTGAATTGCGTTTGATGGATACTCATCAACTTTTTGCAGATATTCCCACCATAATTCATGTTCTGCTCTCCAAACTGCATGATTATTGCACTCCAGATCTTGGCGATAAAATGTAGTCAATTAAAAAAATTTAGAAATTTGCTCCTCTTCTATAACTCAGTCGGATTTCTGTGGAACCAACAATGCGAATGATGACAACAAATCTTTATGTTAAATAATAATAAATCTGCTTTTTAATTGTGTCAGGACACTGTCCAAGAAGTTCTTGGCAAGAACGGGTTAAATATTTGGTGCTATATTTGTATGATCCTGATCATACATGTAAAATCATTTATGTAATTAATATAAATAAAATATTTTTTGATGGGTTGTATTAATTAGTTATATTTATGTAATTAAAGATTATACAACATATAATAACCAAAATAGCTACATCTTTAAATATTTTTTATCTCTCACGCGGTCTATATTTTAAACTTTATTGTTGTCAACATTCGATAAAGAAATAACTTGTTATGGCCTAGGCCGATAAAAAATTTTATGAGGCAAGTAATTAGTTCGATTTTTTCTCGCTAGGGGTCAGAGCTGCAAGCTCTCAGAAAACTTAAATCGTTTTTTTGATTTAAATCGTTTTAATGACTTAAGTCATTGGGTAATAAGTCATTTCTCTAAAACTGACTTAAGACTTAAAATTTAAGTAATTTTCAAAATGATTTGTGACTTAAATATTTTTTTCAAAATAGAAAAAACTTAAGTCATTAATTAAAGGCTTAAATCAGTACATACGATTTAAGTCAGATAGAAACGATTTAAGTCAAAAAAAGATTTAAGTCTTTTTGAAAAAAATTAAGTCTTTTTAGAAAATATTTAAGTCAGATTTTTCATATATATTTTTATAAACTTTTAACAGCGGCAGCCGCTAGTGGATAAAAAAACCGCCGCGTTAGCTTTTCGGAACCGTTTGACGGCTACATTAAAAAATGTCCTGTCTAAAATGAATTAAAAAAAGTGGGAATTTATAATTTTGTTATTTTGTTTGCCAACATTCGTCGTATTCGTGCGTAGTTAGGTCTAATTTGTGATTATTAGTGCAAAGTGGAAACAATCGTTCGTGAGCAGTCGTACATCTTGAGCGGTCGTGAATCGAGAGTTTGGAACTTCCCATCATTACTCCCTTAAGGGAGGAATTTTTTTTTCTAGATGGATGTTGAACCAGCTAACAAAATTTAACAAAACAACAAGTTATCAGTTTTTGAAATACAGCGATTTTAAGAAAAATGCTTTAACTTTTATCTATTTTAACAGAGTTTGAATATATCACCGTTTAGAAGTTACCCATTTATGTATATAAAAAAGTAGCCTCCCTGTATGTCTACTCTACTAAAAAAGTTGGTTTAAGTTTTTATTTTTATTGTCTACTATATACTCAAAAAATGTGTTTTAAGTTTTTATTTTGTTTGTAAATGTTCTGAAAATAAATCGTTTTAAATTCTTAACATAGTGGTTTATTATCATCTATATCTACAATAGATTAATAATATCAGTATCATTAAT